GTGTTTTTAATATCGACTTCAGTTTATTGAACACGAATTTTTCTTACAGTCATATGCACAGATGAAAACATGTTTCGCTGAGCAATGACATTCTTACTTTGTCGTCCATTTTTGAATGCCAAGAGATAACCATATTAACAAAAGAAACAAATCATCACCAAAAGTACACAAACAATGTTGATTAGATAGAAAAGAAGAGACTAAACTATGGATAATTACATCAGAAGGGAACAATATAATAATGACAACAAGAAGGGAACTGTGCAATCTGCTTTTAAAGTGTAATGTGCAAATGTGCAACAGGTAACAGTCTGAAATGTGCACATGTGCAATAATAATAGTCAGAAGAATGTCCCGTTCAGCTGTTTAAAAGTCTGATGGTACTTGGGAAAAATGAGTTCTTGTATCTGAAGGTTCTGCATGTCACACTTCTGTACCTCCGGCTGGAGGGCAGAGGTGTGAATAGTCCATGCTGGGGGTGGGTTGGGTCTTTGATGATTGAGGCTGCTCTCCTGTGAATCCTGCATTGGTAGATGCTCTGCAGAGAGGGCAGTGAAGTCCCTGTGAACTTCTCAGCAGTTTTTACCACCCTCTGCAGACGTTTGGTCCATAGTGGTGGCACTGTTGTACCAGGCTGTGATACAACTGGTCAAGATGCTCTCTACAGTGCAGCTGTAAAAGTTCCTGAGGATCYTTGTTGACATGCCAAACTTCCTTAGTCTCCTCAGGAAGTTCAGTCTCTGCTAAGCCCTCTTGACCAGCTGTGTGGTGTTCTCAGTCCAGGTCAAGTTCTCAGTGAGGTGGATGCCCAGATATTTAAAGCTGCTCACCCTCTCAATCTCGAGGTTGGAGTGAGTGCTACTGGCCTGTAGTTGTTTAGACATGTGGGTGGACTCTTCTTGGGGACGGGGACAATTGTTGTTGATTTGAAGCATGTGGGGACTATGCACTGGCTGAGGGAAGCATTGAAGATGGAGGTGAGCACTTCTAGCTGTGTTTCCATTGCAAATGTGCGCAAAACTTTATTGATATTCTGTTAATGTCGAAACAACACAGTTTCGCAACTGAGGTGTTTCCATTAAGAAATGCTATTAAAGTCACGCGTGAATATGTTTGTCCTCACGATAAGTCATTACAAACATGGCAGCAATGGATGTAAACACATAGCTTGTTGCTACCATGACACTGGCGCTCATCATCAGAGGAGACGTCGGCGTCTTTTATCGAGGCTTTACAGTGACAAGCCCCTACTTGGGAGCGGCTACGTATGCTGTGTTTTTGGGAAATTGTAGTCAGTGAGTTTACTACTTTCTTTTACTACTTCTGTGATATTACTACTACTTAATTCCTTTTATCATCTTATATGTCATCTTTTTCCCCAGTAGAAACAGCCGGTTGTGATCACGTGACTCCCATGATGCGAAAAAGTGTTTCAATTGCAGTTTTGCGAAAAACCCCAGTTTCGATTCGGCCAGAAAACCACCTCATCCTAGTGCAAAAACATTTTGTCGAAAAACATTTTTTTTCAAAACTGACGTGTTTCAGTCATGGTCTGTGATTTTATGTTTTGTTTATCCTAGTGTTTCTATGTTCACCCTGTGTTCTCAGCGCAGCTGCCCTGCCTCAGTCTGCTGATAACCCTCGTGTTTCTCCCCAGGTGTTTTCAGTTCCCTCATTAGTTTTCTGTGAATTTAAGCCCTGTCTTGTTTCTGTCTGTTGTCGGGATCATTGTACTGTCAACCTGGTTGTGTCCTGCTCCATATTCTGTGCCAACGTTCAAGTTCAAGTGAGTTTTGTGCTGCATTTTCAGCCTTTTTGTTTTCATTAAAGGCCTCATGCTTTTTGCTTTTTCAAACCTGCCTGTGCCCTGGGTTATTTTGTCGGTCCTGACATAATGATCCAACCACAATACCCAGCCTGCAGGCAGTTTTTTTGGATCAGCCTTTTTTTTGGGCCAGCCTTTTCTCCCCCGCTTGAGAGGAGATGGTTCCTTCACTGCCACCATCAGAGGAATGGGTGATGCACCCCCTGATCAGCAGTGCGCTGACGATGTTACGGTGGTCCCCCTCCCAAGACTGCAGACTCTCACTGTGCCACCACATCATAACCATGCTGGTGTTCAGCCCCGAGCTACAGCAGCTGCCTGGCCATCGGAGGTTCGCTACATTTGCTCAGGCAGTCCTGGTTGAGGGCTTTGTTGCCCRCCCTCCCACCCCTCCTGTTGTTCCAGTGCTGGTGGTTCCAGAGCCGGTAGTTCCAGTGCCGGTGGTTCCAATGGTTCCTGAGTCGGTGGTCCCAGTGGTCCCACAGTCGGTGTTTCCACAGTTGGAGGTCTCTGTGGTTTACGAGCCAGCTGCCGTGGCCTCCATGTCGCCTGGGTCGGCTGCTGTCGCGTCCATACCGCCTGGGTCGGCTGCCATCGCCTCTATGTTGCCTGGATCGGCTGCCATCGCCTCCATGCCGCCTGGGTCATCAGCCATCGCCTCATCATCTCCTCCGTCACCTGTGTTCGCCATCGCCAAGGCTCTGACTCCATCAACCTCTGATGGCTCCTCATCACCTCCCGCTTCCTCCCTTGGCTCCATGTCTGCTCCTGCCTCCTCCCTTGGCTCCACGTCTGCTCCCGCCTCCTCCCTTGGCTCCACATCTGCACACGTCTCCTCCTGTGGCTCTACATCTACTCCTGCAGGGTCTTGCCATGGATGGCTTCCTGGCCACCCACCTGACCTCCTGCCTTGCTGGGGAGGGTTTCTTGGCCGTCCCCCTGGACTCTTGCCCTATGCGGGATGGTTTCCTGGCCATCCCCCTGAAAGTTCATGTTTTGTCTTTGAGTCTGTCTTGTCACGTCTCCCCTTGTCCTGTGCCTCTCCTTGGTGATCGTCTGGAGACGATCGTTAAGAGGGAGGTACTGTCATGGTCTGTCATTTTATGTTTTTTTATCCTAGTGTTTCTATGTTCACCCTGTGTTCTCAGCGCAGTTGCCCCGCCTCAGTCTGCTGATTACCCTCATGTTTCTTCCCAGGTGTTTTCAGTTCCCTCATTAGTTTTCTACATATTTAAGCCCTGTCTTGTCGCTCTCTATTGTCGGATCATTGTACTGTCAACCTGGTYGTGTCCTGCTCCATGTTCTGTGTCAATGTTCAAGTTCAAATGAATTTTGTGCTACATTTTCAGCCTTTTTGTTTTCATTAAAGGCCTCGTGCTTTTTGCTTTTTGAAACCTGCCTGGACCCTGGGTTATTTTGTCGGTCCTGACAGTTTCCATTGAGCAAATTTATTTTTGAAATTCTAATTTGTGCATTTTTATGGTCAATGGAAACACAGCTTCTGTCAGCTTGTTAGCACAAGMTCTGAGGGAACACCCAGGGATGTTGTCTGGTCCTGCTGCTTTGCGGGGGTTGATCTGCCTCAGAGCTCTCTGTACCTGGCTTGACAAGACAGTTGGTGGTGGGGAGGGGGGATAGGTTTTCTGGTTGAGTGAGTCTGTGTATGTGTCCCCTGTGGTGCTGGAGGCTTCAAAGCTGGAGTAAAAGGTGTTAAGTATGTCTAGGAGATTGTCTGGGGAGCTGATGAAGTTGGTGGGGGCTCTGTAGTCTGTATTTGTTCAGTGTTACTACAATTAATCTGTCAGTTCATTAGTAAATCTTCTTTATTACTCCTCAGAACCTAGAAAATATTAGCAAAAACTCAATACAATATTTAGCACAACTGCTACACCTCCATGAAGACATCTTCACCACTTGGCGACACACTCCCTCTTACCTCCTGAGAACACCAGCATGAAGCATGCTGAAACAAATATTTAAGGTGAATAACAAGAACTGTGCAGTTACTCATTACTGAGTCTTTTTTTGAGTGAGTGAAAAAGGCCTTGGTCTTATCAGAACAAAAATAATAAGGCCCTCTGTAGCAGCCCAGACTGGTCTAAAGCCGGGTACACACCAAAAACGTTTGGAGCAGCCAAAACAGCCAGTTTACATGCAAAGTCTATGGTGGCCGTGCATCTAGGAGCAGCGCAGAGTGTTGCGGCGCGTTTTGGCAGTTCAGAGCAGCGCGCAAGGTAGCGGTAGGATGCGGCAGAGCATTTTCCGTACATGCGGCAAGGTCCAAAGCAGCGACTAATAACGTTCAACTAATTGAACTTTGGCTGCTCACCGCACAGCAGCAAACAGTTGGGGGAGAATATGTATTTCACATGACGGTATCCTGAACCCGACACAGACGGACAGGAGCCTTTAGCTGAAATCGACCATCTGCAGTTGATGTTCTGGCTGGAGTTATCAGCACCGATGTGATGAGGTAGCAGCTTGTTGAGCTCGGGACAAAAAAAGGTCCCTCAGCTCTCTGGAGTGGCAAAACTAAACCAACTCTAAATTATCTGGTGAATTAATTATCTGCTGTGCGCAAGTTCGCTTGCTCTTTAGCAAATAAAACAAAGGCATTTTATTTATTTTATCTTTATTTCACCTGTCATTAAAGACAGTCTGGTCCCGGTCTGAAAAAAAAAGTCCATCAGAGCACTTCTAAATTATCTGGTGAATTAATTATTTGACGCGTTCAGTGTGTGAATGGTCATCTGTTGACAAGCAGCCAAACGCATGCAGCAGGAGCATCTTGGCTGCTCCAAACACGTTTGGTGGGAACCCAGCTTAAGAGAAGACTGCATAATAATAATAATGGTGATTCAACCTCTTAAAAGTACATCTGAACTCCTGATCTCACCCTGTGAGGCATCTTTACATCAGGCATTACAACATAAAACTAAACCTTATTTATATTACAGACAGAATGGAACACTTGATAAGACACACTCTCATTCTCTGTTTAAACCATATGGATTCAATGATCAGAAAGTTTAAAATACAAGACTGGTTCTTAAATTCAGGTAATGAGGCACAAAGTTCCTTCAGGGGTTTTGGATTTTTAGATATGGTTTTAAACTTTTGATCAGCTGATGAACAGCCTATTTTAGTTGTTTGCAATAAAATGCTGACTCAGATGTTTGTTTTTGTCTTACTCACATTTCTTGTTTTTGCATTTTTGAAGCTCTACTTAAAACATTCCTTATGATCAAACAGTGCAAAATGTCTTGCCATTTTTCAACTGGTCTTAAAGTTATGAGCAGGAGTGTAACACAGTATCTACAGATTAGGGGTTCAGCTTAGAGACAGAAAATCTTTAGGAGGGACTCATCTCCTACAAAAACTACTATAATAAGCCATATTTATTCACAAGAGGAAAGTAACAATGACAACAGCATCTCTCTCATACTGACATTTAAAACTCCATGTGTCACTGATAGTGACATACGCTCTGAGAAATGATGTTATTGAAAAAACATTGGACTTTTCAGGATAAATGTAAGAAATGAAACTACTTCCTCACAGAAACAAGATCATACAAGACCAGCAGTAACCTGCAGTACTAACCTTATCAACTAATTCAGATGTGCTACAATTGAACCAGAGTATCACGATAGTATTAATTGACTGACATGGCTGCATTTTACTGTGGGTACAATGAAAATGAAGCTGCTCCTCTGCCTGTTCACAGATGGCCATGACCTTCAGACTGACTCCAACCACAACATTTCCAGGTTTGAGGGATGAGAGAAGAAGCCATCTTTAGAGAGACAACCTGTTGTTAAACAGGGTGGAGACATCCATGTCCAATTGTCCCGCTCTTACTATGCTGTTATTACAAGTATCCCTCAGCGCTCTATGAACAAAAAGCAACAATTTCAGCACTATTTTTTTTACAATATCTGTACTTACTCAGAATGTATGGAGACTTTGATCACTGGAAGCATCCTCTCAATAACCCTCTGGTCAGTAGAATAGTCCTTTGGGTTAAAATGATCAAGAACTTTTCCTGATGACATTAAGATGAAGGCCAGAGCTGACCAATGAGAAGGAGACAGTTTATCTGTGGAGAGACGTCCTGACCTCAGAGACTGTTGGATGTCCTCCACTAGAGAACGATCATTCAGTTCATTCAGACAGTGGAACAGATTGATGCTTTTCTCTGCAGACTCATTCTTACTGATCTTCTTCTTGATGTACTGGACTGTTCTCTGATTGGTCTGTGAGATACTTCCTGTCTGTGTCAGCAGGCCTCGTAGGAGAGTCTGATTGGTCTGCAAAGAAAGACCCAGGAGGAACCGGAGGAACAAGTCCAGGTGTCCATTTGGACTCTCTAAGGCCTTGTACACAGCCCACTGATGAAGAAAACTTAGATCACATATTCCAGGATTCTTAGATGATTCATCTTGTCCCATCAGGTTGAGTCCATGTTTGATGAAGGTCAGGTGGACATGAAGAGCAGCCAGAAACTCCTGAACACTCAGATGGATGAAGCAGAACACCTGGTTCTGGTACAGTCCTCTCTC